AACACAAGAACAAAGCATGCATCACTGTTTCTTCCATTTCCCCACAGCCTTTGCAGATAAGCTCCACATCCATACCCCTCTTGATCAGATTGCAATTAACAGACAAGATATTGGAAAAACATCTCCAGATAAAATGCCTCACTTTGCCTGCTACCTTTAGATTCCAACACCTCAATCTAGCTCTTTTGTTGAACTGAGCCTATCTGCTAGTTTCAGCTCCCTGATATCTGCTCCACTCAGCCCTGCAAAGCTCCTCATAAGCTTTTTTAACAGAAAAATTTCCTTTGTCAACAAAGGTGCATTGCCTCACATCTGCAGAACTAGGATTAAGGGTGTTAATGGCCATAATTTTGTCAGCCACCTCGTTCTGGTATAAAATTCTAACCAGCACTTCATCCCACTCCTCTCCATTATTCAACATTAAGTCCCTCACTCTGAATTGGTTACCATCCACATGCACCCTTAGTTCAGGCTTTTGCCCTTTCATTTGAGGGATCCAACAGAACTCATTAAGCTTTGTCTCTTTCCCATCCTTAATGATAATGCTCATATGGTTTTTCAGCCATGGGATAAAAGCAGCCCAGGAGTTCCATAACCATGAAGCTCCTGATTTCTTGTTATAGTAAAAAATAGAGCAAGTAGGGAAATACTTGGCCTTTAACACTTTGCAATACAAGCAGTTCAGGCTTCTCACAGATCCTCCACAGCTGCTTAATGATCAAAGCCTTATTAAATAGCTTAATATTCTGAAATCCCAACCCTTCATTCTGCTTTGACCATGTCATTTTATCCCAAGCCAGCCAGTATACTCCTTTAGTTTTACCCTCCCCTTTCTTCCACCAAAACTCAGCTAACACTCTGCAAATCTCCTTGCATATCCCCACATGCAACACAACACAAAACAGGACATCACACAGATTGGGAGGGCATTAAGAACTGCCTTCACCATCACTTCTTTCCCAGCAGTAGATAGTAGGTGATTCTTCCAGCTGCAAATTTTAGTTCTGACTGTATCAACCACAAACTGGAAAGCTTCATGCTTAGATGCTCCAATCCCTAAAGGAAGCCCTAAGTACCTGGTTGACCTCTTAACCATCACCCCAGAAAAATAGAACAGATCTTCTCCTTCATATCCACCGTGCAATTTCTACTCAAAAACATAGATGATTTGTTAAGATTCACTTTCTGACCTGCAAACTCCTGGTACCTTTGAGGCATATCCATGATCAATTCAGCATGATGCTCATTAGCATTGCAAAACAGCAGTGCATCGTCAGCAAACAAGAGATGAGTGATCATAGGGCACTCTTTTGCTACTTTAATACCCCTAAAGATACCCTGCTGGACATTATGAGCAATCACTGATGAAAACAACTCACAAACCAAGAGGAACAGATAGGGTGAAAGTGGATCACCCTGTCTTATTCCTCTAGATGGTGTGATAAAACCTCTAACACTGCCATTTAGATTAAAAGAGAATGATGAAGTAGAAACACAAGCCATTATCCATCTGATAAATTTGCTATGAAAGCTCATCTTCTTCATAGTCAACCTTATGCAGTTCCACTCCACACGATCATATGCCTTCTCCATGTCAACTTTCAGTGCTAAAAACACATTCTTCCCAGACTTGTACCTGTTCAGAAAGTGAAAGATCTCCTGAGCAATCACCACATTGTCAAGGAGCTGTCTCCCCGATACAAAAGGAGTTTGAGCTTCACTAATGCAACCATCCAGGCAACCTTTAAGTCTCTCTGCCAAAACTTTAGATACAATCTTGTATAACACCCCACAAAGACTTATAGGTCTATAGTTGCTTAACTGCTCAGGATACAAACATTTTGGAATCAAAGATAACCGAATGATTCCAATTTTTCAGCATAGTACCTGATTGGAAAAAGTCAGTCACTGCCTTGCAAATATCTGTCTTCACCAGGTGCCAGAAGTGTTGGAAAAATTTTGCAGTCATGCCATCCTCCCCCGGTGATTTCTCAGGATCCATATTGAAAAGAGCATCATGAATTTCCTGTTCACTCACTAGTCTAATGAGATCATTGTTGGTGCTATCTGAGATGCTCTGAGAAATGTGACTGAGAAGGTCCTCACCCCTGCCTGACCCCTCAGATTTGAACAGTGAGGAATAAAAGCTGACAATGTGATCTTCAAGTTTTTGCTTCTCCTCAATGACCTCTCCAGACCCAGACACTAGCCTCTGAATGGCATTTCTTTTCCTCCTTTGCGCAGCAAAAGCATGAAAGAAATGAGTGTTTTTATCCCCTGCTTTTAGCTAAAGGGCCCTGGACTTAGCCCTCCGGTATTGCTCTTCTTCTATAAAGGCCTTATCAAGGTCAAATTTGGTGGCACTCCAATCAGCCCAATTCACATTACCACCATTAGCTCTCAGCACTTCCATTTTAGCTGTAAGAGTTTGGATCAATTTCTCATTATTCCTCTTGATGTGGTTGTACCATGACAATATTGCCCTTCTGGTGAATTTTACCTTCTGGTGTACTTTAAACATATCAGAGCCCTCACAGTCTCCACCGCACCCCTCCTCAACTGCCTCCTCAATACCCTCAATTTTCAGCCAGTTCTTGTCAAATATGAATCTCTTCTTTGCAGGTCTCTGCTCCACTTTAGTATCATATAGTATAACATTGTGATCAGAAGCACACCTGTAAAAGTTAGACACCTCCATCTTAGGGAATCTCTGCAGCCACTCATGGGAAGTAAAAACTTTATCCAATCTTTCCTCAACATAGCCATCCCCCTTCTGTTGTTTCCTCATGTGAAAAATGCACCTTTCTGAATTTGTTCATACATATCCATTCCCATAATGAAATCTCTGAAGGGTAAAAAGCTAGCCTCAGCTCTGACTCTCCCACCCCTTTTTTCCTCATTAGAACAATGTCGTTCCAATCCCCAGCAATAGCCCAACAATTCCCCAAGCACTCTTCTTCTCCAGCAAAAATTCCCACTGTCTGACCCTACTGCTCCTCTCAGCACTCATGTACACAAAGATCAACCAACACTAGTCAGACAAACCCATTCCTCTCACTTCCATTTGAATGCAAAAACCATTACTGTCAATTCTCCTGATTTCAACTGACTGATCCCACATAACAAGAAGGCACTCTTTTACTCCCCTCTGGTTCAACCAAATGCCAACTGTTAATAAACCCCAACTTATTACACACAGTACTAGTATTTTTATTATTTTATTTTTTTTGTTTCCGAAAGAAAAATAATATGAGGGTGGTGGATTCTTCTGGAATCCTTGATTTGGGAAACTGTAGAAGGCCCACCCAGCCCTCTACAATTCCACACCATGACCTTCATTGGTCACCTTGGGGCCACTCAAGGCTGGCCTTCTCCACCTTCTCAGCAGCAAGCTTAATTCTCTTCCCTATTTGCTCCTCCTCCAAGTTTTGATATTCCACCAGTTGAAGTTGTTGCTCCCCACTTCTCTCCCTTTTCCCTCCAACTGCAGTTTGAAAAACCCCTTGAGGTAAAGGATTTCTCATCAATCTGCCAAGCCTCGCAGATGATCTTCTCCAAGTTTTCCTACTCTCAGGCATATGAACCTCAGAGCTTTCACCGACTTCACCCACTAAAGCATTCTCAGCAATCACCATAATATCTCCATTTCCACTTGCAGCCTCCCTTATCACTTCCTCCACTCTCTCCTCCACTCCTCCTTGACACTGCACCATTGGAGATACCACAATATCAAGAAGATTGCCCCCCTCCATATCACATGGAATGAGAGAAACAGAAGATCCCCCTTCCCTATTATCCCCTTTCTCCGACTGCACCTGCTGTCTCGAAGTACTTGCATCTGCATTGGAGTCTTTCTTAGGATTTGTCTGGGGAGAACACTCTTTAGGGTCAGAACCACTAGTATAAGACTGTCTGTATCCATACAAACTGTCACCCGCTTTTAGCCAATCACCAAACTGCCCATCCTGCAAGGATCGATTCCCAATGTCTAGAAGCCGCAATTCACAATTTCTATCAAGATGTCCAATGCACCCGCAATAATAGCACAGATTCACCAATCTTTCGTATTTAAATTGCACCATCGCTTGTTGATCTTCAAGTTTCACCAACGTGCAGCGCGGCAGGGGCTCCTTTGTATTAATGGTTGCCAACAGTTTAATATAGCAACCTTCTTCTCCCCCCAATCTGCATATTGTTACATTTTTTACCCCATCAAACACTTCCCCATTTTTCAGGCCAACTTCACTGCTCATCCAATTAAAGGGAACATTTAAAACATGAACCCATAAATTAACCAGGTCGAAACTTCTGTGCTTGCTGGTAAGCCCCCTTTGCCATTCCCTCAACACAAGGTATTGGTTCTCGAACAACCAGCTATGGCCCGCCGCCACTCTCTTCCTGTCTTCTTCAGAAACAAAAATGAATTGGAAAAAATTAGTTTCCAATTCCCTAACCTCGAGTCTTTGGTGAAGACGCCATATCGAGCTCATAGCTCTCTTAATCCCCAGCATAGACGTCTTTCTATCCCCAATGACTTTGCCAAAAAGACTTTTGCTGCACTCCTCCTCTGTCGACACAATATCTCTCTGTTGAATTTCAACCCCTCCCAATTCTTTCATAGATAACGAAAATTTTTGAAGTTTTTTAGTAACCTCGTCTCCCAAATCCCCCAAATCAGCCATAAATCAACCACACGAAACACCGTAACCACGATCTCAAACGATAACCTTCACCAAAAGAATGAATCTACTCACACCAGAGAGAATCACACCCGCTCCCACCAGAGAGAATGGGGATTGCAATTTTAAATTACCTGCGGGACTGGATTCAATTCTCTTTTACACATCCAACGGTGAGCACCTGTCCAAGTGTCAACTGCTCACATATAAAGCGTCCCCCAAAACCCTCGTCTTTCTCTATCCTCCCAATTCGCTTGCGGCTCAGTTTTCTTCCTTCCACCACTAGGGTTATCACGATCCGCCCTCAGCTTCGAATCAAAGATGGTAAAACCATTAACGATTTTATGCCGACTTTGATTTTTTACGAGTTCTTTGGAAGTTTTGGTTTTCTCCGCTTGTTTGATTCTTATACTTCTTTTTCCTTTTCTCAAAACAGGTTCTCCCAAACGACATCGATTTGCTGAACCCACCAGCGGAACTCGAGAAGAGGAAGCACAAGCTCAAGCGTCTCGTCCAATCCCCCAACTCTTTCTTCATGGTAGCATTTCCTTTTTCTCGACTATCAAATTGTGTTCTTTTGTTCGTATCATTTGTGATTTACAATCCATTTTCGGCCTGTGAATGTAGGATGTCAAGTGCCAGCTTTAACATGTGAGTTTGATGTCATTTAGATTCTACAGTCATTTGGTTTCATTTCAATTTTTTTTTTGGGAGTTTTGATTTATTATTTTTGTTGACCTGTTTGTTTGTGTTGTCCTGTGTTTGCAGAACCACCGTATTCAGCCACTCACAGACTGTTGTTGTGTGCGGCAATTGCCAGACGGTGCTTTGCCAACCGACGGGCGGGCGTGCAAGGCTCACCGAGGGCTGCTCATTCCGTAAGAAGGGTGACTGATGATATGTAGTTGCTGATTTATACAATCAGTTTTCTTAACTTAATTGTGTATTTGTGTTATTACAGTTAATATAGTTGCAGACGGTTAAGGAAAATGGCGAGCATAAGATCAAGCTTGCAGATGAGGCTTCGACAACTTCTCTCTAGTAGCGGGGCAGTGGGTGGTCCCTCTGTTAAACTTGATTCGGAGCCTGTATGATCTCCTTCATGTTTTTTCTTTTCGCTTTTATGTTCTTGTTATAATAGGCGCTAATTTCGTGCTGTGGATAGTTTCCAATGGAAAAAGAATTATTTGTCGTGGATTAATGCTAAGCCCCCTTCTGCCATAATAGATGGATGCATAGATTTGAACCAAAATTGCTTTTATATAGCTGAATTGGAACTTTAGGAGATTAACTTTACCAGATTGGCGTATGGTGAACTGAAGAAAGGTGTTGGTCATTCAATTGTTAAACTGAGCTGGACGTCGTGTTGGAACTGGCCAAGGACGGACTGAGAAAATTAGATGAAGATAAATTTCCCTTATTTTTTGTCCTTTATATTTAACAATCTATGATACTGCATAACCTACGCTTATATTAGGACTATGTCTTGTTTGGGTTTATGATTTATTCATTTTTCACAAGTGAAATAGGTTTCACTTCATGTTTATGTTTTTGTTTTGAAGTATTGTCTGTTTGACATACTGCCACATCCATGGCTATTGCTTATTTTCAAGTTGAAGCATCAGTGTGTAGAAGATGCTTTCAGAATTTATCTATTCTTACATTTAACCTTCCTTTAAGGATGAAGTAAGAATTAACTACATGTTCTAGGAGGACTTGATCGTTTCAGAAATCCTTTAATGCTTTGCATAGGAAAAGGATCTTGGTCTATTTGTGAGAAGGTTTAGTGATTACAGACTAGATGTGATTGATACCGTTATTTATTTAAACTGGTGTTGAAGTCGTCTGTACTGTCGTCGATGCCCTTTTAAGGCTAATCCATAGGGCCAGGATAAATAAACGTCTATGATCCAAAGTTGAAAGCTAGAGAAGGCATAGGTCCTTACTTACAATCTATCAACTCTCCTGAAGCATGCTATTCTTTACCTAATTTTGGATGCTTGTTTCCTAAAACCTGCAGAATACCTGTCAAAGGTGCAGCACAATTACGGTTCTTTTTTTTTTTCGTCAAATGCTTAAAAAATTGTTCAAACAACACTCCTACTGTTGATGTCTATTGAAAATTAGATCACCTTGAGGCAGAAAGAGCATCATGATAATAAACTTGAAAAGTCTTTTTTCTCCATTTTTGACCAATTGTGATGTTAGATATTAGACATACTTGATTAATATTTATTACCATGTTAAAGAACATTGGATCTCTGGTGGCAGAAACTGCTATATATATTTTTTTTATATTTGAGCTCTAATATATTATGCATCAAATTTAGGTCGTTTGAATGTGTAATCATTTTTTGGCATTCATGACATCAGCTATAAAGTTGAGCTGTTATTTTTGTCATCTTGAGCCAAATTTAATGTACTAGGTAAAATAATTTTTCATCAAGTTTATACCTGATATCTAATAATATGTATTTGTTTATACCTCATATCTAATACCCTTATATGTATTTATTTTTACCTCATATCAAATACCCTTGTATGTATTTTTACCAGTTTATGCAATCTTGATAAGTGAATTTGAACTTTATTGAAGCTTTAGTCTTATGATGTTTACCTCATATCTCAAACACGGTTATGTATGGCTGCATCTCATTAGTGTCGTTGGGTTACTCATTCTTAATGCAGCCTTCAAGGATAAAAGCTTTTGTTGAAAAGGTTATCCAGTGCCCGTTGCAGGATATAGCAATTTCTCTCTCTGGTTTTCGCTGGGAATATGGAAAGGTTGCTGAATTTGCTTGTTAATTGCTCTTTCTTCTGTTTTCACATATTTCTTTTTCTTACTTTTTTTTTTTTTCAGGGATACTTCAACCATTGACGCCTATTTATACATTTTGACACATATTTCAAGACTTACTTGTCCTGCAGAAACGACCTCCTTTTGTCAGATGACATTTTAGGAGACGTCATTCCCTAAACAGGCAGTTTTACAAATTCTGAGAGTTATGCAGATTATTCTAGAAAATTGCCGCAACAAGACTTCTTTCGCCGCGATAGAGGTGAGTTGATGACTGAAATTTACGTTGTTATCTTTTTCATTGGTGGATGTAAATTTTACTGCTGGTGGGTTAGTATATACAGAGTACATTATGGGGGGAGACATTAATAGATGATTGTTTCATACTCCTAATAGTATTATTTTTTAACATTTGTGTTATTGTTTTACCTTTTGGCCCTACAATTCCAGTATATTTATGATCTTTTTAACTCTCTGTTTTCTTTTTCTTCAGTATTTCAAGCTATTGCTTGCTTCACCAGTTTCGGATATTCTCATAGCAGCTTTGGAGGCCCTTTGTGCATTTGTGAAAATAATTCCATCGAAATTGCACGTGAATGGAAAGATGATTGGATGTGGGTCAGTGAATAGTTGTCTTTTATCACTTGCACAAGGTTAGGGTAGCGAAGAAGAAGGCCTGGGTTTGTATTCTTGTGTTTCTCTGCATGAAAGGTCTGAGGGTGATGTGTTATGCTTGTTTCCATTTGAGGTACAAAATGATTGTGATAAATTGCACCATCGCCTAGGATCCACACTGTACTTTGAGTTGCGTGGCACTGTATCTTCTGGGACAAATATAATTCAGCTTCCCGATCTTCATTTGCGAGAAGAGGATGACCTGTCACTCATGAAGTTATGTATTCAGAAGTATAATGTGCCTTTGCAGCTCAGATTTCCATTGCTCTCAAGAATCAGATATGCTCGTGCATTCCGTTCCTCCAGAATATGCAGACACTACTGCAAGATTTCTCTTCTTGCGTTTATTGTGCTTGTACAGTCGAGTGATGCTCATGATGAACTTGTTTCATTTTTCACTAATGAGCCAGAGTATACGAATGAATTGATTAGAATTGTGAAGTCTGAAGAAATCATATCTGGCACCACGAGGACCCTTGCAATGACAGCACTTGGAGCACAGTTAGCTGCATATGCTGCGTCTCATGAAAGGGCACGGATATTGCGTGGATCAAGCATCAACGTTGTTAGTGGAAACCGTATGATTCTCCTTAATGTCTTACAGCAACACAGCTGTCACCCTTTTCAGAGACCTGGTTGGAATTAAGCTTTTGATTCGTAGATTGCAGGTTGAAGTTCATAGAGTGATTGATTTCACTGGGTTGAAGGATGATACTGTGACCACAGATGCATATTTTGAACTTGATCAGTTGTGCACTTATAAGAGATTGGTCAGAGCTTTGTTGAAGGCTCTTGGTTCTGCCACTTATGCAACTTAAAATGCTGCGCGATCTCAGAATTCTTATGATGTCACCTTGCGTTCCACAATGTTGATAATTTTCAAAAACAAGGAAAAATTTGGAGGTGATATCTTCTCTGCAACCGTCACTCTTATGAGTGAAATCATTCACAAAGATCCAACATGCTTTAATGCACTGTATGACTTGGGTCTTCCTACGGCATTCCTCTCATCAGTTGTTGGTGGAATACTTCCTTCTTCCAAAGCCATTACATGTATTCCAAATGGTCTTGGTGCTGTTTACCTCAACTCTAGGGGCTTGGAGTCTGTCAGAGAAATT